TGAGAAAACTGTTATGAAAATTTCCTACCATTGACCATTAATGTCGAAAAATCTAACTAATTCAACTAAGTGGATTAACAGGAAATGGATGAGCGACAGACCTGAAATCCAATCCCACAGTATGGGACCATGTGTCAATGCTGTATGCCAAATATCAAGAGGCTGTGATAAGTAGTTGCTGAGAAAACTGTTACGAAAATTTCCTACCATTGACCATTAATGTCGAAAAATCTAACTAATTTAACTAAGTGGATAAAACAGGAAGTGGATGAGCGACAGACCTGAAATTAAATCCCACAGTATGGGACCATGTGTCAATGCTGTATGCCAAATATCAAGAGACTGTGATAAGTAGTTGCTGAGAAAACTGTTACGAAAATTTCCTACCATTGACCATTAATGTCGAAAAATCTAACTAATTTAACTAAGTGGATAAACAGGAAGTGGATGAGCGACAGACCTGAAATCAAATCCCACGGTATGGGACCATGTGTCAATGCTGTATACCAAATATCAAGAGGCTGTGATAAGTAGTTGCTGAGAAAACTGTTACGAAAATTTCCTGCTATTGACCATTAATGCTGAAAATTTAAGTAGGTCAGCAAACAGGAAGTAGATGAGCGACAGACCTGAAATCGAATCCCACAGTATGGGACCATGAATTGATGCTGTATACCAAATATCAAAAGGCTGTGAATAAGTAGTTGCTGAGAAAACTGTTACGAAAGTTTTTTCCCCACCCGCCCGCCGCCCGCCCGGACGCCCGCCGCCCAACATTCACCATACTATAACCCGGGTTTGCACCAGTGCAACCCGGCAAAAAATAAATCATATTTCCCAATTAGCTTTGTTGATGAAGACTATAAACTTACAATAGTCGCTAAAACATTTAACCTTCTCAATATATCCAAGCCAAAAACAAAGTGTCAACAGGTGCTAAGACAATGTATATTGACATACCGGTACGTTTGATCTTTTGTCAGGGCAGCAGTTCTTACGTCACGCTTAAGATGTCTGTATTGATTAATGATATGCACAATGTTTTAGCGCCGACCAGCCAAAGACCAATCAAAGTTTATTTACTCAATTGTCAGACACGCCCTTGCCAATCGTGTTTGATTAGCTCCATCTTTAAGACTTTTTTAATTGGATGAAGGCGTGTTCGTAATAATTTATGCACACTTCTCTATAATTAACTCGCACTTTTCACAAATATATAGTTTTTTTTCCTTTCGGAAAGTTATGACTTTTGACCGTGATAAAAATATAACTACACGCACGTATTGGATTATCTGTGACGATTTGTTTTGTTTATAAAAACTGTGACTCAAAAGTAAGTAATAGTTACGGTACGAAGAACAAGTCTACTTAGTGTCCAGCTTTATTTGTCATCCAATGATAACGCTGTATTTCTTAAAAATTATGTGTGTTAATGTTCATAGAAGAAAGAAAGTCGATACTATATTGAAATTCGTTCATAGTCGCCTTCTATTTTTCATAGTGCTTCATAGTACCGCCTAGTGACGTAATCAAGGGCCAAATAAAGCTTGACACTAAGTATGTTTAGCTGTTCTACAGAAATTAGAAACATTCTCCTGTCGCTATCGCTCCCGTCGAAGTTTCTAATTTCTGTAGAACAGCACGGATGAACACTAACATATACATAGTATTTACAGGCCCCGCCCGAGAGAGCGTAGCGATCAAGGTTTTAAAAAGGTTACCGAGTGCGGTAACTATCTTACCAACATGCTCTTGTTTTTCTATACAATACAAACTTCAGTTTTGAATTCAGTATTTATTAATATTATTCACAAGAAACTTTTTTATGTACTTTATCGCAGGTTTAAGAAAGCATTCTAATGTCATTTAGGGCATTTTCTATGAGTGCGCCCATCGGGCCCACAGTTAAATTTGTTTTGCGCCAGCGGTCTTTTCAGGGGGTCAATGGCGCAATGGCGCGCTCTAGATTGAACACTGCATTAAGGTTGTACATCCCTGGAAGTTTAAGCAAAATCTGCCATCTGGTTTAAGAGGAGTTGCGTTCACAAAATTTCTACATAGTATATAGTGAAAAAATCTACAAAGGGCCCTTATTCTGTTAAATTTGGTCGCAGCGAAAATTCCTTCCTTTACTACCATCTACACATTAAGGTTGTTCATCCCTGGAAGTTTAAGCAAAATCTGCCATCCGGTTTAAGAGGAGTTGCGTTCACAAGATTTCAGGATGTACAGACAGACGTACGGACGGACAAGTGCAACGCTATATGCATCCATCTTTGTGGGGGCATAAAAAAACATATTAAAGTTTTCATAAGGCATGTATCTACAGGCATGCTCCATTACAATATTACACACAAAAAGATTAAAATTCATTACCTCACAAACACTATAATCCTCTGAATCCAAGCACTGACATAGTGCTGGTAACAATTCTTGCCAGTTACGAAGGTCACCCTTCGCCACTATGGTAGTGATCAAAATACCAATGGTAGCTCGGATCAGTGGAGAAGGATCGCCAATACTGTTCAAACATTCTGACTTTATGAAGGAGGCAACTTCAGGTGGGAACTTCTCAAATTGGGCTCGTACATTGTTCTTCAGGATTAATCCACTCAAGGATCTAGTTGGGTCATCTGCAATGCCAGACAAAATTTTCATGTCTTATTTGTTTTATACAATTATACATTTTGCAGTCTTTGCCATTAAATTATGTACTTCTGATGAAAACAATTAAAGGGACTCCACTCACTCTTTTTTCCAGTATTATCATTTTTATTTTGCAAAATACCTAAAAATGCTTAGCGTTTAATGAACATGTTTAAATGCTTTAACTCAAACAAAGCTATAAATTCTAAATATCCATTTTCAATTTAATATGTTTGTAAAATTTTAAGAGTTTATGTCTTTCGGCTTTTAGACCTCAATGGATGTGGATAACAGGGCTTTTTTCTCCTATTGCTTATAGTAGGGGACTTTCTGCATGCAACTTCCTGCTGAAAAATTCTGGAAAAACATGCAGTTTTCCCTTTAAATTCAATATGCTTAATTTTTTCATATTTTCTGCAAAAAAATACTGTATTATTTCCCACAATTTAGTGAAGGACCCCTTAACATATCTGTGAAAAAAGGCCTGAATTGTTTTATTTTAAAGTGTGAAGTGAATCATTTTGATAAACTTCCCTAAATATTTCATTACATAGTTGAGAGAGAATTATTTCAACACCCCCTTTAAGCTTTTTATAATGTTATATTGGATTCAGTTAAATCATACAAGACAAACATATCACGAAATGTGCACAGGTATATAAACTACTGTAAACTAGAAATGTGTCCATAGGACACTGATGCCCCCACACGCCACTGTTCTGTCAATCTTATGACTCTAGGTCAAATATTTTTTGGACTACATGTGCCACAAGTTGAAAACTAAAAATCAACAAAGGGCCATAATTCTGTTAAATTTGGTCGCAGCAAAAAATCCTTCCTTTACTGCCATCTACACATTAAGGTTGTTAATCCCTGGAAGTTTAAGCAAAATCTGCCATCCGGTTTAAGAGGAGTTGCGTTCACAAAATTTCTACATAGTATAAAGTGAAAAAATCAACAAAGGGCCATAATTCTGTAAAATTTGGTCGCAGCGAAAATTCCTTCCTTAACTGCCATCTACACCTTAAGGTTGTTCATCCCTGGAAGTTTAAGCAAAATCTGCCATCCGGTTTAAGAGGAGTTGCGTTCACAAAATTTCTACATAGTATAGAGTGAAAAAATCAACAAAGGGCCATAATTCTGTAAAATTTGGTCGCAGCAAAAATTCCTTCCTTTACTACCATCTACACATTAAGGTTGTTCATCCCTGGAAGTTTAAGCAAAATCTGCCATCCGGTTTAAGAGGAATTGCATTCACAAAATTTCTACATAGTATATAGTGAAAAAATCAACAAAGGGCCATAATTCTGTAAAATTTGGTCGCAGCAAAAATTCCTTCCTTTACTACCATCTACACATTAAGGTTGTCCATCCCTGTAAGTTTAAGCAAAATCTGCCATCCGGTTTAAGAGGAGTTGCGTTCACAAAATTTCTACATAGTATCTAGTGAAAAAATCAACAAAGGGCCATAATTCTGTTAAATTTGGTCGCAGCGAAAATTCCTTCCTTTACTACCATCTACATATTAAGGTTGTACATCCCTGTAAGTTTAAGCAAAATCTGCCATCCGGTTTAAGAGGAGTTGTGTTCACAAGATTTATGGGACGTACGGACGGACTGACGGACGGACGGAATGACGGACGGACTGACGGACGGACGGACAAGTGCAACGCTATATGCTCCCACATTGTGGGGGCATAAAAAAATATGTTCAGAATTATAAAACTTTTTTCCATTTAATAAAAGGCCAAAGAAAAGCACCCATCAGCTGTTTGAAAAATTTACATAGGCCTTCTGAAAAGCCGATAACTGTAACTAGTCAAGCAAGCTTTAGGAACTCCTTTATTTGTAATCACAAATCTACAGAAATATCTCAGTATCTCACCTTCATTCTTCAACTTTGTGAGGACAAAAATCAAATAGTTGTTGAAGTCTGGAAACTTGTTCAACTCTTCCAGTTTCTGGTTTACTCATTAAGGAAATTATTAATTAATACATTAACTACCTGTACTCTCAATATTACTGAAGGAGCAAGATATTTAAACATACTTAATTACATTTTTAAGCAATTTATGTTGGTTGTTAATGCCTTACAATGTACATGTCTTTTTATTATTGTAATTTTTGTAGATGAATATTCCCTGCCTGAGACACATGCAAATTGAAAAAGAGGCATGATTTCAACATATATGTAATCACTTAATTCCTTCTTTAACAAAAAAAAATTTCTGACCACTGACATGTTTCTAAACCCATCTCAGAGTTGGACTGCTTAAGTCAAAGTCTGCTGTCCAGAATGAAAATTCTTTTTTCAACTTTTTGGACGCTTTGTTTAATCCTGGAACTTGATTCAGCTTGAAACTTTTTTATTCGAGCATATGCATCCCTGGACACATAATATAAACTTTCTGTGTAAATGCCACATTATATTTCAATTTTTGCTCATTTCAACACTTCACTATCAGTGATTTTCCTACTTATATAACGGACTCCGATAAAAGGCCTCTTCCCAATTGAAATTTTCTTTAAAATCATGCAGTTTTCCCAAAATTAAGAACTTAAACCTGCTTTTTTACTTCCCAAATTAGCAATTTTAGCGATAATTTTTCCCAAAATCAAGTGGCTAAGGCCTCTTCCCAATTAAGTGAGAAAAATCACTGACTATGTTCTAAATTTTTGAACAACAAAAAAATAAAAGAGTCCAAATAAACTATAGTTTATTAATCTGGAGGTGTTCTGCCTTAACATTGACTGTCTAAGTTAAGGGTTATGACAAATCTGTAGTTGATCCTTTAAAATGGGTCACAGAGATCTTATTTCTAGCCGACTTGGAAGAAACAGTAATTTTTACTCCCTTATTTCGTTAAGTTTGCTTACAGAAGCTAAAAAATTTCATTAATTTTTTCCAAGTGTCAGATTCGTCCAGGCTCTGTCTATTTCAAAACAATCTATTTCACCCATTTTTACTGGTCAGTAAATCAGCAAAACAATTAGGCAAATGTTTGGAGTTAATTTGTGACATCGTTGGGTACTGTCAATCAGTTAACAACAATTAAACAGATTAGGTGATTCATTTCAGAATTAAGAAAATTTTGCATTTTCCCAAGCTAATCCAGGGGTACAAACTTTCACTAATACAGCTTCGAAAATAAACGCAACAGTTTGACTAATCTATTGCAACCAGTAGTGCACTGTGAAACTGTAACAGAAAAAGTTTGTACCACAGTCTATGCGAAAGACTTCTGAGTTTTACTGGACAGTAGGTCCTGTAAACTGAAAATTTTTACTGGACCAAACATGATTTTACTGGACCGAAAAAAACCTGATTGGTATAGCATTTTGAGTCATTTGAGTGTCAGAAGTCAAAAAATTTGTGTACAAAAAGAAAATTGTATTATCAACGCAGTGAAGTTACCTTTTTTCACCACAATCAAAATGTAAACATAATATTGTTATACATGGTATTCAATGGATTTTTGCTATTTAAACTTTAATTTCATACAGGACTATATACTAGCAAAATGAGAGGGTAAATTTCAGCAAAAGTCTGGCATATGTAAACAGAATTATATTATCGGTAATTTTTAGTGAAGTTGACAGATTAATTGTTCAATGATTTTGGTACCTTCACAGTATAGTTTAATTTTTGTCAACATCTTGGACGATCTTTCATAGCTAAACACCAGTTGAACACATGTAATTTAACATTTCTCTAAGTCTGTGGATTAAAGACGTAAATTGTTCCAATTAATTCACTGACGCTTTCATCTCTGTGTAAACAAACTAATAGCGGTTTGACCTTTCACATCTGGGCCGCTTATGTAATTTACATGGCCGCTTATTGACTTTTAATTGTACTAGTTGTCGGATATTTTTATCTTAAGTTGTTACATTAAAGTTTGCATTATGAGAATGCATAACAGTTGACAAGCATTGCACGAGCTTATATTGTGTAATGACAACATTTTGATTTGTTTTGAATGTAGGTAAATGATCGGCCTTTGCAAAATGTTGAATGTAAGGTTTTTATAAATCCTTAATTTTTACGGGACCGTCGGGCCGTCAAAACATATATTTTTATCGGACCTTCTGATTTTTTACCGGTCAGGGCCGACGGTCCGACGGTCTTTCGGAAAGACTGGTACCAGGGGATTAGCTAGGAAATCCCACATTGGCAGAGTGCTGGATATCACCTATCAGGACCAATTGGTGACCTACTTATCATATAAATTTGCCAGTAATCCTAGTTGGTCATGTTTTGATGTTTACAATTGTCTAGACAATTGGTGAAAAATTGGATAGGTAAATCAGTTTCTATTAGAAATGTTTCTTAATGGTGATATATCCTGTGATTTTCGCTTTTTTCTGCAAGAATGGTTGTACAGGAAAAAAGAAGTGTCTTTATAATCTTGCTAGCTGATTAACTGGAGTAGGCAAGAAAGTTTTCAAACCCAAATGAACATGTAAAACTGGCGGGGGCAAGAAACCCAAATGAACATGTAAAAACAAAAGTATTTGAATTTTTTATTTGCAGTTGTGCGAATGAACTATCCTATGAAAAAACAACAACCTTATAAATTAGCACTCATTTCTTATTTTCTCTGTATGAGCACTTCACCCTAAAATTCAGGACTAGAAGGATCCCTGATTAATTATTTTCGGCCTGCCATTTCTTTTATCTATAACCTATGTCCACTGATAAACTTGTATGTTTCAAAAAGTGACTGATGTCTAAATTTAGAAATGAAAGTACATTTTTAGAAAATCCTGTATAAAATTTTCCAAAAACAGCTTGATAAGCATTCTAAAAATTAGTAATTTTATAAATCTGATACTAAACAAACTTAGAAATATCTGTTTTTTGGCCAAGTATTCCATGTAATGTTCTACAATACAAAATCTATCTACAAAATAATTGATGTATTATTTTAAATGAAAAACATAATAAATATAATACTCAGGTTTGTCAGAATCACGCTGGATAAAACTTTATGTCCCACACCTGTTGCAACTTAAACATTGTTTCTTTCATTTAGTATGCTTCTCACATATTTAGACCACCAGCATGCTTGTTCTACAGAAGTGTCCCTTAATTTTCATGTGATTAACAGTCATGCTAAATAGTTTGGTAACAAAGTCAATTGGCAAAATTGAACGAAACTTTCCTTAAATTGTTATCATACCGTATAACTCATAACTAGACAATTCTTGCGTTTCTTCCATTCAAAAAAAAAAAAAGAGAAGAAAATCAAGAAAATAATTTATCATGAATTTAAAACGTAAATAAATATTTTACTATCAAGGAAATACCTTACATGTCACTTGATTATACAAACAAAAAATAACTGGTAGATATTTTAGTGTTTTTCATTTAAAAATGCGGGTTGTAGACTACACAAAACTTTTCCATTTTGCCCCCAATTCAAAAGCACGTGGGTATAAAGGCAATTTTCGTGCGGCAAAACGAAAATTGTCAAAGAAGTATATGACAAAAAATAAGAGATCAAACTTAACGCAAAGGATACTTGTTGAACAGCTCTTTGTGTGGCATTGTCAGGTGACTGAGACTCCTTTAACAGTTGTAAAATTTGTCCGAGACCGTTTTCTTCTGGTTGCCACGCCATTTTGGATTTTTCTGAGCAAAGTCAACTTCCGGTATTTTAATGTTTTAAAAATAACATTATTTTTAAAATATTTCAATATTTTCGAATATAAATGATATTTCAGCTAATATTTTAGCAGTGAGGGGTTATATAATTGCGTGAACATGTAAAATAGTATTAAATAAAATAAATTATCTTTACACGTCATAGAATTTACTCTTCACACTACTAAATATTTTCATTTTATACGTTCAACACCACTAAATATTTGTATATGTGAAAATATTTTTTAGCCCTGTTCAGACTCCTCCACCCTTTCTTAAATGTAGTCACTTGTGACATTAACTAAAGTGATATTTTATTATAAAAATGTGAACAGGTACTTGTATTTTAAGTGCAACATTCTGGCACACTAGGTAGTCCAATGTTTAATTTTTTGTAAATGTTTACTGGGTGTTTGCTTAAAAAACAAACATATATAGCAATACCATTTATAAGAAGGTACTTCTACCTCAAGGTGCTACACTATACTTTGTATTCAAGCTGCAAATTTGATTACTTAGAATTTATTTTTGATAATAAAAAAGTATTGTATGACTATTTAGCTTATAATTATGCTTTATGGCTCTAAGTTATAATGTGGAAGTTTGGTTCCTGTAGACATTTTCACAAAAAATCTTACGACAATTTTTTGTCATAAGAGAAATCTTACGATAAATCTCCTTTTCACAAAAAATCTTAAGAAAATCTTAAGTGCAAAATCTGTCGTAACTTTACGATAGGTCTTCCCCGTTCGTAAGTGTAATTTTTTCTCTCTTAAGGGTAAAATATCATGTATCTCTTACCTAAACTGAATAAAAACAAACAAAAAGTTGGAGGACAACTAAATATTAAGCAAACAGTATGCTTTAAATAACACAAATTGAGGTATAATTATTTTTCAACATATACATTTGTGACGTCATGACTTGATGACGTCACGATGGAGAGGGTTATGAATAGTTTAAAATAATGTGACTATACTGTAGACTAGTATTATTGAAAACTTATAATTTGTACAATTGGTGAGTTCGATTTCATTGCCAGCATGTACTAGTGGTACATTTTTATTTATTAAAAACATAGTAGACCTTCTTTCTGAATCTTTTAGATATATATTATTATCTTCAATCAAGATATACTGTATAAGTAAATTATATCAGTTTGAATCATTTTTTTGTTCTAATTGAAATTTGATTGTGTTCAATAGATATTTCAAGCTCTTGATTACTTGATTTTAAAACCGGAATCAAATATAGAGCATGCAAATGAACGTTGCTAGGGATGTTTTTGTCGTAAGATTTATCGTAAGTGAATTTTTTATCTTAAGATGAAATTTTAACTTACGAGTGGCTTTGTGAAAATGACTTAAGATTTAACTTACGATTATCGTAAGTGAAAAACTTAAGATAAATCGTAAGTTTTTTTGTGAAAATGTCTGCAGACATTTAGCATTTTCCTCTAACCTCATTAAGGACTCTGTATGTTGTACTTAAGGTTGTTACGTGACACTTTTGTGAAATTTTATATATGTATATAATTATTCTTCTAAAACAATTTTCTAACATCAAGATTATGTTAACAAGAGGGCCATGATGGCCCTGAGGTCGCTCACCTGTATATAGGCCCCCTGAGCGGGGCCAGTTTAAACCCCAGGGCTTTTATTTGAACAAACTTGGAAGACACTCATTAGAAGGTGTTTCACAATGTTAAGTTTTTACTACACACATGTAATGAAAAACAATGATCTCACCCACCCCCCCCCTGGCGGGCCAATTTTCACCCAAGGGCTTTTATTTGAACAAACTTTGTAGACATCCATAAGAAGATATTTCATGCTAAACATCTAAGCTCTAGCTCATTGGGTTTTTTAAAAGAAGATTTTTAAGTTTTTACTACACACATATAGTTAAAAACAATGACACCCCTGGGTCGGGCCAGTTTTGACCGCAGTGCTTTTATTTGAACATACTTTGTAGACGTTTACTAGAAGATGTTTCATGCTTAATATGTGAACTCTAGCTATTTAGGTTTTTTCAAAGAAGATTTTTTAAGTTTTTACTATATGCATATAGGGAAAATCAAGACCCCCCGGGACGGGGCCAATTTTGACCCCAGGGCTTTTTTTTTAACAAACTTGGTAGACACCCATTAGAAGATGTTTCCTGCTGAATATCTTAGCTCTAGCTCTTTGAGTTCTTTCAAAGAAGATTTTGTAAATTTTTACTATGTGCATATAGGGAAAATCAATGACCCCCTGGGGCGGGGCCAATTTTGACCCCAGGGCTTTTATTTGAACAAACTTGGTACACACTCATTAGAAGATGTTTCATGCTGAATATCTTAGCTCTAGCTCTTTGGGTTCTTTAAAAGAAGAATTTTTAAGTTTTTACTATATGCATATAGGGAAAATCAATGACCCCCTGGGGCGGGGCCAATTTTGACCCCAGGGATTTTATTTGAACAAACTTAGTAGACACTCACTAGAAGATGTTTCATGCCAAATATCTTAACTCTAGCTATTTAGGTTTTTTCAAAGAAGATTTTTTAAGTTTTTACTATATGCATATAGGGAAAATCAAAACCCCCCGAGGCGGGGCCAATTTTGGCCCCAGGGCTTTTATTTGAACAAACTTTGTAGACACTCACTAGAAGATGTTTCATGCTTAATATCTAAACTCTAGCTATTTGGGTTTTTTCAAAGAAGATTATTTAAGTTTTTGCTATACACATATAAGGAAAATCAATGAGCCCCGGGGCTGGGCCAATTTTGACCCCAGGGCTTTTATTTGAACAAACTTGATAGACACCCATTAGAAGATGTTTCATGCTGAATATCTTAGCTCTAGCTCTTTGAGTTCATTCAAAGAAGATTTTGTAAGTTTTTACTTATAATTAATATGCATATATAGGGAAAATCAATGACCCCCTGGGGCGGGGCCAATTTTGACCCCAGGGCTTTTATTTGAACAAACTTGGTACACACTCATTAGAAGATGTTTCATGCTGAATATCTTAGCTCTAGCTCTTTGGGTTCTTTAAAAGAAGAATTTTTAAGTTTTTACTATATGCATATAGGGAAAATCAATGATCCCCTGGGGCGGGGCCAATTTTGACCCAAGGGATTTTATTTGTACAAACTTGGTAGACACTCACTAGAAGATGTTTCATGCCAAATATCTAAGCTCTAGCTCTTAGGGTTTTAAAAAAAAAGATATTTAAAGTTTTTTCTTTCGGTTGCCATGGCAACCAGAGTTCTGCATGGAATTAAATTCTTTGAACAATTTATAAAGGTGACCACCAAAGGAACATTCCTGTGAAGTTTGGATGAAATTGGCTTAGTGGTTTATGAGGAGATGTCATTTAAAGTAAAAGTTTACGGACGGACGGACGCCGGACGAAAAGCGATCACAAAAGCTCACCCTGTCACTTTGTGACAGATGAGCTAAAAAGTATGTACTGCAAATGTTTAAGCACATTATATGTAGTAATTAAAATATTTGCATTAATTTCTTATTGAAACATTTGGCTTAGGCGTTTCTAATTACCGGTACATCCCTTTATTTACATGAAATGTAAATTCGGTAATATCTTTACAAATAATGCTTTTTGGAATTTACAATATTGATAAATATTCATTTGAGCATCATATTTATGATATAAAACCATAAAAAAATTGAGTTACATGATCTTTTAGCATGACCTTGCCCTAAACCTAAAGACCTGGCTCGCTACATCTCATAGTTGTAAAAATTTATAAAAAGAATTACGGAAATCCATGGCATAACTAGAACTATCACTAAATGTGATTAATACCCCCACAAGTCTGCTTTGGAAATGAGGATGTTACTAGTAACAGAATACCTTGTAATAGAATTGAAACATAGAGTTATGGTTGTGGGCAATTAAAGATAATTGTGGTTCATGTATGTTGCATTTCCTTTCAATGTGGTTGGCCATTGATGAAGTTTAATTGAATTACTCTGTAATAAGTCCAGAAAGACAAAGAAAAAGAACAAAGGGCAATAACTCTATAAATACTGAAGATAGAGTTATAGTTCTTGTGCACTGCACTTCCTCTTATTGTGCTTGACCTTTGTATGAAGTTGTTTTGAATTCCAACCAGTACGTTTTAAGTTATGCTCCGGACAAGGAAAAGTATCAAAGGGCAAGTAACTCTGTATTTTGTCAAAATGGAGTTATGGCTCTTGTGCACTGCACTTCCTTTTAATGTCCTTGACAACTGTATGAAGTTGTACTGAATTCCAAACAGTAGTTTTCAAATTATGCTCTGGACAAGGAAAAGTAACAAAGGGCAATAACTCTGTAATTAGTCAAGATGGAGTTATGGTTCTTGTGCACTGCACTTCCCCCTTATTGTGCTTGACCCATTGTATGAAGTTGTTTTGAATTCCAACCAGTAGTTTTCAAAGTCCTGTCTGGACAAGGAAAAGTAACAAAGGGCAGTAACTCTGTAATTAGTCAAAGATGGGAGTTATGGTTCTTATGCACTGCACTTCCTCTCAATGTGCTTGACCATTGTATGAAGTTAATAATGAATTGCAACAATAAGTCTTCAAGTTATGGTCCGGACAAAAGAAAGCAATGGAAAAGTAACAAAGGGGCAATAACTCTGTAATTAGTCAAGATGGAGTTATGGTTCTTGTGCACTGCACTTCCCCTTATTGTGCTTGGACATTGTATGAAGTTGTTTTGAATTCCAACCAGTAGTTTTAAAGTCATGCTCTGGACAAGGAAAAAGAAACAAAGGGCAGTAACTCTGTAATAAGTCAAAATGGAGTTATGGTTCTTGTGCACTGCACTTCCTCTCAATGTGCTGGACCATTGTATGAAGTTAAAATGAATTCCAACAATTAGTCTTCAAGTTATGGTCCGGACAAAAAGAAAGCAATGGAAAAGTAATAAAGGGCAATAACTCTGTAATTACTTTAGATAGAGTTATGGTTCTTATGCACTGCACTTCCTCTCAATGTGCTTGACCATTGTATGTAGTTAAATTGAATTCCAACCATTAGT